AGCACAGCTATTAGAAAGAATACCTGAAAAGTAGAAGTATTGATTTAGGCTGAACTGAATCACATAAAAATAATTCCCAAAATGAATCTAATAAAACAAAAGTGGGCATAGTAAAGCAAGATACATGCACATGCATGGAAAAGTGCTCTTACCCTGGACAGCGAGTATACAAAAGCTTAAAAAACAATGAGATATATTATCCCCTGCTATTTTTCATTTCTAAATTCAATACTAAATATTCCTTTATTTATGAAATATTGATGATGATTTGGAGAATAGGACTTTGACAACCTGGTAATAATATAAACTACTGCAATAAGTTTGGAGATGTCAGTTTCTTCTCAATTTATTTATGCATCTACTTTATGATCCAGAAATTTCAAAACATCTTCTAAAAGAAAGAGTAATGATTTTGTTAACAGAAGGTGTTTATAATAGATGTAACGAAATAATCCTAAACTCAAAAATATCTCGTAAGGAGAAATATCTAGGAATTTTTAAATAGTTATGCAATGGAGGAATCCATAAAAGTACAGACATAACAGGGACACAATTAGAAAAATATGCCAAGAAGATGAAACAAAATGGAGGTTATACACTGTGGGATTTCACAGACAGGAAATTCAAGTCAGAGAAAAAAATGCAAGAATGGAATTTAGAGCAACAATGGCTGAGGATGACGAGATATTGTTCGAGGTAAGATATGTGGGAAATTTCTTCAAGACCGAAGAGCTATGGTGTGGGAGGTGAAAAGCACGAGTGAGATCTGTCTGGAAAAATCTACACCATGAGTTAGCTATTAGGTAAACATTAAATTGGTTTTTTTTCAAAATTGAATATTTTTCTCTGTAAAATTCCAAGTTTCATTGTGCAAATGCCCCAGTTCCTCTACAAATGGAAACCAAAGAGGAAGAATTCATGCTTAAAATGTGGGACATGCGTGATATTGTATTTAGGAGGTTGTACGCTCAATAGCATTTCACTGAACAGTATCCAACAGTAGTGGGATTTCATCTCAGCAAATACAGCTGCTGCGTAGACATTGTAATAAATCATTGTTCATCATAATTGTCAAGATTTTGCCTAAAGACAACACATCTCATACTCATTCACAGATCGGGCTTTAATTTCATATGTTCCAGTTACCCTCTTTGCAACTTCTTAAACTCTGTCTCACACAAAGAGCTAAATGACGTATTTTTAACTTACTGCCTACGCTGTATTAAAGAGAGAGGATAATCCTAAGTGACAGGATGACATCATTTAAAATCCCCTGGTGATGCTGGAACTGTCCCAGTTCACAGGGGTAAACTAGGGTGAAAGTTTCCGCTTTGCTGCTCTGCTGTTTTACTCCACATACGTGGGTGAACAAGTTCCTCAAAATCTCTGAAGTCTCCACGGAACTGCTCTGCCCAATTACATTGTTGCTTTCCCTGAGTCTCCTTGACACCTTCTCCAGGGGGAATACACGGGGGTGTCACCAGCGCAGATTGTAAGTCTCTCAGGCGGTGTAGATATAATGAAGTAAGTGAATTATAGTGGGTGAATTAAGTGTTATTTCCTCAGGGAGCACCACAGGAAGGATGGGGATCCTTAAATTCTTATCCAAACTCCAAGAGTGATTTCTGAGAGAGGAATCTGACTCTTCTTTGGAGGTGGGTAAGAACTGCCTTGGCTTCTGACACTTGCTTGCATTTCACAAGCCTCTGCTACCTTTGGATTTGTACTGCAGATACAGCCAATGACAGCTGATTCCTTTAAATGCACTACAAAATTCAGTGTCTCTGCTGTGAAATAATGTGCTTCAGATAAGTATCTCTCAGTAAGTATTTTATTTGGGGTATAAAAATCCATGAACTGAACACAACCCAACCTAAATCTATCTGACTTGGCAGTACTTAAGGTGACATAGATAAAGCAAGAAAAAAAAAAGGAGTTGGAAAAAATAAAGTGTAATCACTGATTTCATAATTTAGAGTCTATTAAAATTAGGATCTCCAGGTAAAATAAGACAATTTAATTTGATTCTCAGATATAAGACAAGTTGCACTTATATTTTATGAAACATTTTATTGTTGAAATATCTCTTTAATAGATATAAAATAGCTCTCTTTTAGAAAAAATATTTAAAGATAAGATTTTGAAGGTGAAATTTCATAAAGTGCAAATAATTTTTAGTGACGTAGGCCACAAGCATAAATGTGCAGATATCTTAGTTTTTGATAGTCTTTTCTTGCATTTTTGTTATTTCTGGCTCTATTTTTTCATACTGGATAATACCAATGCTCAGTATACAGAAAAAATATATATAAATGTTTTTAAGCATTTTGACATGATGAAGAAAGCCCTGAACCTTAAATAATTACTAACTAAAATAAGCATGCAAAGAGATTGAAAAACTAAATCTTCTGCATAAGTTTTGTACTCTGCTTGCTGTAGTGGACACCCAAGTGGGAATATTTAAAATGCGCACAATGAGATATTTCTGAAGAGCCCAGAGGTATTCTTTTTCATAGATGGAAACTGCACAGGGTGAAGAAATTTCTATAGCTTTGCAGCGATGTAAAATGTAAACTAAACTGGAGATAGAATGAAAAAGATCTAGCATTACTGGGGAAAATTAAGTACTCTGCATTCACAAGATCAGTCCTGGAATTCTGGATGATTTGCTCAATCAAACTCATCTTCTACTCTATAGTAAAACGCTAAGATGGTGGATCCCAGAAACTTACAAATTCAAAATTAAGGTTTCAAAAGGAAACAATTTATGGTCCAGGAGAGTGAATAAGAGGTCTGAGAAGAATGAGACTCAAAGGAAGCAGCCACGACCACTGCACCGCGGAGAAGAGACACAAGCCCAGCTCCACTTCCTGACTCAGAAACGCAGATGGACATCAACATAGCAGATCCCCAGATCTCCTGCCCACTGGTATCTGCTGTGCTCTGCAAGGCAGCTGCTCTGAGCTGTGCTTGGCAACTTTGTGGTGGGCTCCAAGAATTTGTTACCCAGTGTCTGTGCAGGGGACCCCAATGTCCCAATAAACAATCCTTCTATTCTGCATTCATAGAACAGAACGTTTGGTTTTCCATTTCTCCTCCACAGAAAATTTTACTGAGAAAGTTGCAGGTTTTCACTGAGTTGATACTAAATGTGATTGTAAGAGATTTCAACAGATTAGGCTAAAACTGCTCCCCAACTTTCATCAATTCTGCTTGATTTATAGTCTTCTTACATCAATTTTGTGAAATGAAGGGTTTTTACTGAAATATTTTAATATTACAGTGCCACACTCTATTCCATTATGAAATTGCAGAAATAAAAGCTATCAGCATATGTTATGAAATGATATGAAGAAAATATCAGTCTTATTAAAATCTGACATCTTACAGTGATTATTTAATTATATAAAGTATATAAAATTAAACACTCAAAATCCATGTGTATTGATAAAACCTACATATATGAGTAAAAATAAATCTACATCTTAAAATATAACGTAGTAGAGGATTCTCTTTCAGTAAATCAAAGTGAAATTATCCTTACAATCTCAGTAATGAATGTAAATATTCATGGAGAATAAAAAAGAATTTAAGAACGTTTACTACAAATAGTGAAAACAACATATAAATTAACTAATTTTGATAATGAAACTGACAAATCTACAGATATTGGTGGGTACATTTTCCTATGTAAGAAGGCCAGAAGCTGGGGATTTAGCTCAGCAGTGTCACCACCTCCCTCACAAATGCAAGGTCCTGAGTTTAGTTTCTGGTACCAGAGAGAGAGAGAGAGAGAGAGAGAGAGAGAGAGAAGGCAGAATTTATCAATGATAAATAATATTAAATTTGAACATTATAAACATACACACTAATCACCAAATAAAATATCATTACCTCAGTTCTCTAAACTTGGACTCTACAAATGCCTGTAGACCTTAATCCACTATGACTTCAATTAAAGCAAGAAGGAATGCAACTCAGAAGGTAAAGAAAAAGTGAGCTTAATTGATTGGATTATGTGTCTTATTTTTAGAGGTTTGACAAAATATTTTGCTGAGTTCAGGGAGACTCTGTTCCCAGCCTACCACAAAAACGCTTTGTCTCTTCCTTTGCAAGTATTGTCTACAACAGCAACATGTCCCTAGTGACCACAACCCTGTCAAACCTAACCATGGCTGGGTCACTAATTAATATTGGTAGCTCTGGCCTTTAAGGTCTTTGCTGTTTGCTCAGCACTGGCCATACCAGCTCCCTGTCTGTTTCTCTTTAGCTCTGTCTCTGAGTTTTTTGTCTCAGCATGCATCCTAGCACCAAGTAGAAGGTCTGGACCCACTCCTGGGGGCTCAAAGCATCAATTAATTAATTAATTAATTTACAAAGCAAAATATTTTGTCAAACCTCTAAAAATAATAATAACTTTACGAGCCTGCCTATCTATGGCATAGACGTGGGCAGCAGCATTTATCAATTATTTATCACACCTCTTTAACAATTCATGAAAGGAGACTGTCAGAACCAAACCCCAGAGTAGCAAGAACGATACTATCTATGTGTTTGAACAAAATGGTACGTCTTTGGGTTGATTAATGGCAATGTGTATTATTGTAATACAAAGATGTTTTTATTTCAACTTTTACTCTATTTTTCTAACCCTCTTACATGTTCAGAAAAAAAACTTGCTCCATCCTATAGATGAAATAAAGGCTAATGTTTCGACATTGACACTAATATGATTTTGTTGACAATAGTTTTGTTCCAAATGTTACTGACTCTTTCAACAAGTGAAACTATTCATGTATTTCACATGAACACTTCATTTAGAGAAGGAGAAAATTATACTCCTTCTAAAATAATTAGAATCAGAAGAAGACATCAGTACGAGACAGAATGTTACAATAAATGTTTCCATTTTGTGCACGAGTATTAAAATCTGTTTGCCAATTCTGAATGACACACACGGCATTTCCCCTTTTCCTCCTCAGAACAGATATCTGACCCTCATGGAGAGACAGAATCTAACTGTGCCAACTAATTTCATTCTGAGTGCAGTCTCCAGCCTGCCTGAGCTGCAGCTCCCCCTTGCCTGGATCTTCCTCATCATCTACATGATTACAGTTACAGGCAACCTGGGCATGATCATTCTGACCAAGCTGGATTCCCACTTACTCACACCAGTGTATTTTTTTATCAGACACCTGGCTTACATTGACCTTGGAGATGCCACCGCCATTTATCCCAAAATGCTGGTGAATTTTGTTATGGGTCAAAATACCGTTTCCTATCTCGTTTGTGCCGCACAGATGACATTCTGTTACGTTCATCATTACATGATTACAGTTACAGGCAACCTGGGCATGATCATTCTGACCAAGCTGGATTCCCACTTACTCACACCAATGTATTTTTTTATCAGACACCTGGCTTACATTGACCTTGGAGATGCCACCGCCATTTATCCCAAAATGCTGGTGAATTTTGTTATGGGTCAAAATACCGTTTCCTATCTCGTTTGTGCCGCACAGATGACATTCTTTGTTACGTTCATCATCAGTGAACTTTTCGTTTTGTCAGCCATGGCCTACGACCGCTATGTGGCCATCTGCAACCCTCTGCTCTACAACGTCATCATGTCCCAGACACGTTGTCATGTGCTCCTGGGCATTCCGTACCTCTATAGCAGTTTTGTTGCCCTGCTGATCACTATTAAGACTTTTACATCTACTTTCTGTAGCTCTCAGGTCAGTCACTTCTACTGTGATGATGTTCCTCTATCACTTATGCTGTGCTCAAATGGACGAGAAGTAGCATTGATGATCAATCTATTTGCAGGTTTTAACGTGACATCCTCCTTCCTGGTAGTATTATTGTCTTACCTTATGATTCTCTTAGCCTTATGTCGAATGCATTCTGCAGAAGGAAGAAAAAAAGCTTTCTCCACCTGTGCTTCTCACCTGACCGTGGTGGTGGTCTTCTACGGGACTCTTTTCTTCATGTATGTGCAGCCCAAATCTGCTCAGTCCTCTGACCTTGATAAACTGTCCTCTGTCTTTTACACTTTAATGATCCCCATGCTAAACCCAGTGATCTACAGTTTTAGGAACAAAGAAGTAAAAAGTGCCTTCTACAGGATCTTCAGGAATAAGTTTAAAGTTTGTATTTAGTGTTTCGTGTAGAATGCTAGCATAATAAGTACTAAAAAGGCAATGTTGATTGGGAAACTAAAACTAAAAAAGCATTTCACTTGACAGCCCTTCTAATCGAGAGGAGACACATTTTCTCACCACAGGCAGCATTCACTACAATATACCTGTATAGAAAATTTCATTATTTTCCACCCCAATTAAGCCTCAAATTTTAAATACCAATTAAATGTCACTTTTCCCCCCAAATTCTCTGCTATTTATTCAATGTTGTTTCTTCTGGAAATTTTTATTTTTCAAATAATAGTGGATATTACATTGTACATGAATGATCTATTTTTGTTTTGCTTTTATTGCTGTGGTTTGGGTTTTGAGAACTTCCCTATTAAATCTTGCTTTTGTTTTTACATACTAAATCTCAAACTACAGTTCAAAATATAGGTTTCTGGCATTTATACAGCATATTTATGGATTATGTGGGTTTCTGTTCAGGCAAATATTTGATTTCTTAAAAGCCAGCATGTGGGGCATTTTGTTCTATTTCCAGAACACCTAGTAGTGTTCTTTCATATTTAATGTTTTTTAGGAAAATAGATCAAAAAATGCAAGGTACATGTTAACATGATTACATAATATTCCACTTTTAATTACAAATCATTGACCTATCTGGGAGGTAACTAAATCCTGACATGAAATTGGCAATAAAATCAGCAAGTAAGTGCTTTAGGACCTCACTTATAGATGTGTTTAATATCCTGAGTTATTTAACAGAAACACGATTGTTATGGGAAATAAATTAAAGATGGAAAGAAACTAACGGGACTCCTGAAGATCACAATATAACATTAATAATAAATATTTATTGAATTATTATGGCCTCTGATTATTCATGAAAAAGGTGAAGATGATAATTTCAACAAGTCACACTAGAGTCCTTCCTAAGTGAATGCAGTAGAGAAATAAGACACTGAACAAAAATTACTAGTATAGCCACAGTATTATGCAGAAGAAAAACAAGATGCCTAATATAGTATAATTTTAATTCTAATGGGAAAAGAAACGGCAGGGCAAAAAATGTGGGGAAATGTTAACCCGAAATTCTGTCTGAAATTCTTTTTTTAAAGGTTCTTAGCATATATTATGGGAGTACTGACGCATCTGTAATGTCAACACTCAAGAAGCTGAAGCAGGAGGGTTGCTAAGAGCTGAAGTCTAGCTAGAGCTGCACATTGAGTTCAAAATGAGGATGAAATTTATTGGAAGTCACTATTACAATAAAAACCAATGCAGGAAATAGGTTTAAATAACTCTAATTACAGTTAAAAGAAAAAACAATCTATATCATAATTGAGGCATTAAGTAAACATGAAATACTTTTTAAATTCATTAGTTTGATTGGTACATTTTAGGTATATGAGATAATGACATTCATCATTAGGAATATTCACCTTTACATAACCCATCTTGGTTCTTATTTTTTCCCCATTCCCTTGCCCTCCCTTCAACCCCCTCCACCCCCCATACTTACAAAGACTTTGTTTCCATGTTTTACATTTCTCATATTTATTCTTTTCCCGTCTTTCCTTTCACCTGCCACTATTTTTTTCTTTGTACCATTGGGGATCGAACTCAGGTCCTTGTGCTTATGAAGCAGGCAGCAGAACCACTGAGCTAAATCCCTAACCCCTCCCCTTAGCACTCTTGCTTCCCCTTTGAACCTTCTCTTCCTATTTCACATTATCTATTATACATTTTCATCCTCACTTATACTTTCATTTTTCTCACAGCAGACCAACTATTACTATTTACACACGTTTCCTAATTTATTTTCCTTAAAGAGTATGGCCTCAATGTGTCTCCACTTAGCTCTGAATGACTCTAGTTCCTCTTTCTTTGTGGCTGAGTAGTACTCCATTTTATTTTTTTAAAAAATCTTCTTTATCCAGTCTCCAGTTGATGGGCAATTGGGATGTTTCCAAGTTTTAACTATTACAAACTGTGCCCCTATGATCATGGGTGCACATATATCACTGTGGTGTGATTCTTTTAGTTCTTCTAAGAAGACAACTGGCAGGGGAATAGCTGGGTCAAATGGGGCCTCTACTCCTAGTTCTTTGAGGCATCTCCATACTGATTTCCACAGTGGTTGCACCAGTCTACACTCCCACCAGCAGTAGAGCAGGGTTCCTTTTTGCCCACAGCTGCACCAGCATTTACTATTGGTTGATGTCTTGATAGCAGCCATTCTTTCTGGGGTGAGGTGGAATCTCAGCAATGTTTTTATTTGCATCTCTTCAATGACCAGTGATTTTGAACATTTTTTCATATGTTTATTTGGTATTTCTACTTCTTTGAGAAATATCTTCATTTCAAATGCCCAGTTTTGGATTGAGTCTTTAAGTTTAGGAGGTCTGATTTTTTTAAAATTATTTACATATTCTAGATAGTAGACTTTTGTGTGGGGAACAGATGATAAAATTTTTCCCCACATTGTAGGTTATTTCTTCACACTATTGGTCATTTCTCATGCTGTGCAGAAGCTTTTTAATAGGATGAGATCCCAGTTGATCATTCTTTGTGCTAGTTCATGTGAAACTGTAGTTTTGTCCAGAAAATCTTTTCCTATTCCAATATGTTCAAGAGTTCTACCTAACTTCTCTTCTAGCTGGTTTAGTGTTTCTGTTTTAATATTTAGCTCTTTTATGCATTTAGATTTTAGTTTAGTGAATGGTGAGAGATACTGGTCTAGTTTTAATCTTTGACAAGTTGAAACCTGGTTTTTCCAGCACCATTTATTAAAGAGGAGATCTTTCCTCCAGTGTGGGTGTTTGTCTCCTCTGTCAAAGATGAGTGGACTGAGAGTGTCTGGACTCCTTTCTGCCTCTTCTGATCTATTCCATTGGTCCTCAGGTCTGTTTCTTTGCCAGAGCCATGCTGTTTTTAGGACAGTAGCTGTGTAGTAAATTTGAAGTTGGGGATTGTGATATCCTCTACTTTGTCTTTGCTGCACAGAATTGCTTCTGTTGTTTTATGTCTCTTCTTGAGCCAAATGAATTTTTAGATTGTTTTCTCTAGTTCTGTAAAATATACTGTTGGGACTTCAATCAGGATTGCATTGAATCTAATAGCAGTTTTGGAAGTGTGGCTATTTTCACTGTGTTGATTCTTCCTACACAGGAACAAGGGATGTCTTTCCATTTTCTGATATCATATTCAATCTCTTTTGTCAGAGTTCTATAGTTTTCAGAATAGAGGTCTTTGATTTCTTTTGTTAGGTTGATTCTTAGGTATATTTCATTGTTTTAAATGCTATTATGAAAGGAGTTGTTTATCCAGTTCTTCTCTCAGTGAGTTTGTCTTTCAGGTACAGGAACACTATTGATTTTTGTTATTGTTGTTGACCTTGTATCCAGCTATGCTACTAAATTTGGTTATTAAATCTAGAAGTCTTTTGGTGGAGTTCTCAGGGTCTTTTATACAGAGTATCATGTCTTCAAATAAAGACAATTCAAATTCTTCATTTCCTATCTTTATTTGTTTTACTTCTGTCTCTTGTCTAATTGCTGTGGCTAATGTTTCCAAAACTATATGGCACAGGAGTGGGTATAGTGAACATCCTTGTTTTGTTCCTGATCTTAGCATGAAGGATTTTGATTTGGGGGCATTTAGCATGACATTGGCTGTTTGTTTTTCATAGATGGTTTTTATCAGGTTGAGATAGAGACCATTTATTCCTATTTTCTGTAGGGTTTTTATCATGAACAGGTGTTGAATTTTGTTGAACACTTTTTCTCCATCTATTGAGATGATGATACATTTTTCCCCCCTTGGCTCTGTTAATATAGTGCATTACATTTATTGATTTACTTATGTTGAACCATCCTTGCATCCCTGGGATGAATCCCAATGGTCAGGGTGTGTGATCTTCTTGAAGACCCTCTGTATTCTCTTTGCCATATCTTATTGAGGATTTTTGCATCTATGTTTATTAGATGGCCTCTTTTTCATTTGGGTTTTTCTCTGCTTTGGGGGTCAGGGTGATGTTTGCTTCCAGGAATTAATTGGGAATATTATTTCCCTTTCAATTTCATTGAAGAGTTTAAACAGTAGTGGCAGTAGTTCTTGTTTAAATGCCTTGTGGACTTCAACATTGAAGCCATCAGAACTTGGACTTTACTTAGTTGGTAAGCTTTTAATCACATTTTCAATTCTGTTGATTAGTATTGGGTTGCTCATAATTTTGGGGTCTTCTTCCCTCAACTTTGGTAATTCATATGTATCTAGAAAGTGGTCCATTTCTTCTGTGTTTTTCATCTTATTGACATATAGATTCTCAAAGAAGGTATTCATAATCCTTTGGATTTCTGCTGGATCCATTGGAATTTTACACTTTTCATTCCTAATTACATGGATTTGGGTCTTTCTTTTCCTTTTTTTCATAAAGTCTGCTAATGGTTTGTCAATTTTGTTTATTCTCTTGAAGAAATGACTCTTCGCCTCATTGATTTTTTTTGTATCATTATGTTAGTCTCCATTGCATTGATTTCAGTTCTGATCTTTATAATTTCCTCCCCTGTATGAACTTTGGGATTATCTTTGCTCTTCTCTTTTCTAATAGCTTGAGGTTCAGCATCAGGTTAGGTAATTGAGCTTGCTCTGTTTTCCTAATATGAGTATTCACTGCTATGAATTTCCCTCATAAGACTGCTTTCATTGTGTCCCATAGATTCCAATATGTTGTATGGACATTGTCATTTAATTGTAGGTTCTGTTTTATTTCTTCTTTAACTTCTTCTGTGACCAATTGGATGTTTCTAAGTATGTTACTCAATTTTCATGTGTTCATGAATTTCTTGTGGTTTCTATTGCTATTGATCTGTGATTTCATCTTACTGTGGTCTGATAATATACAGGGGATCATTTCAATTCCTTTGCACTTATGTAAACATGTTCAATCAACAAGTCTGTGGCCAATTTTGAAGAATTGCCTCTGTGCAGCCAAAAAGAATATGTATTCTGAT